CTGGGGAGATCCTGTCTCAAAACAAAACAAGCAAACAAAAAAATTGCTGAAGGGGCAGCAGAGGAGCCTGTCCTGCTCAAATAGAAGGTTCTACCCAGGAGGTACTGCAGGCTCTCTATGAGCACAGACACACAGACAAACACAGACAGACATGCACACTGACACACACACACTGGCATCCCAGCACTAGCACATGCAAACATGCAGAGGAGCACACAAACATAGAGAAACACACGAGCATTTTTAGCAAGCATGTACTCAAAAACACACATAAGCATGCATACTGATGGGGACATAGGTGTTCACATACAGACATGCACAGAAGTGTACACACAAGACAAAGACAAGCATGCGCACATGGGCGAGTTTTCACAGATCTACACAGCTGCCCCCACACAGGCATATACACAAACTTGTGTGCTGACACACATAGGGTTCACATGCAGGCACACGGAGACACAGGTACATGTATATGCAAGTATTTGTACACAAAGACACACAAGCATGCATGCATAAACAACTTCTCACAGATGCACACAGACCCTGACAGGTAAGCAGAGCACAGGCGCAACTGAGTACAGGGTGGGCAAAACCTCTGCACCTGTGGTCACACAGGCAGACGCACAAATGCACACCTAGAAATACACACAGCTCTAGCTGACCGAGAGCCTGGGGTGTGAGCACAAGGGCCAAGGCACCTGGACCATGTGGGGTGCATAGCCCAGGCTAGGCATAGTCCCAGCTCTGACATGAGATACCTGGAGTAAGCAAGATCTGTCTTGTCTGTTTCCCAAGCTTTAGACCATTTCATAATCACCAAGAGGCCTAGAAGCTTCTCCCTCCCAGCTCCCAGAGGCCTGACACACAACAGGTATTTGACAGATAAATTCTGACTGAACTGACTGCTAGAAGTCACAGTAAGAACGCACTCTGTCCAAAATCCACTACCCCGTTCTCCTGGTGGCATGGTGACATAGTCCACAGACTCCATTTTCTGGTGGCTCCTACTTCCCAAGTCAATGTCCACTCGCCACGCCACCTCTCCCCACAGAGAGCTCACTCCTCCATTCCTCTCCTCAGACCACAGAGGGTCCAAGAGAAGCCTGTACCCACTTCATCCAACCAACCCCAGGAGCCTCCAAAATTGGAGTCCTGGACTGGAAATTCCTAGGAAGGTGTCTGGGACACAAAGCAAGCAGAGCCCCAACCACCTCATGACCCTCTGCTCTACAGATAGACCTGCCCTGTGCAGAAGCTGAGAGACCTTTTACTTTGGACCATCTGCCCTATAGCCCAGGGAGGGGGACAACACAATGCCCCCACACAGGGACTTTCATGGTCACAGTCTTATCAGGCCCTAACCATTAAGAGCGTGATCTGATGTGGAGCTCGTCAGACTCCTGGTCCAAGGCTTCCGAGCTTGTCTGGTCCTGCCCCGGCAAGCTGTGTGTACCTCAGCCGGCCCCTGGAGCTGGTGCAAGGACCCATCACTGGGAACAACAGGTCTATCCGAATAGAGTTCAGACATTTAGGGATAGCACACACACTCACACTGCACATAGCTTTCTTCCGGTTAGCAGGCCAAGCCAGCCTCCATCTTCCTGGCTACCTCAGAAGGTGTGGCTGAGATGGAGAGTCTCACGAGCCCAGTGGCATGAGAGCCCCTTCCTCCGAGTCCCTGAGTAGCCTCAACAGGCACCCATTGATCTGAGACTGGGTGGGCCCAATGGGTATAAATAGCAACGGAAAGTGGACTTCTAAGAGAGTTCTGGAAGAGCTCACCCTGCCAGGGTCTAGCGCCTGGCTCAGTTTTCTGCGCATGCGCGCAGGATGGGGGTACATTTCTGTCTGGCAAGGCAAAAGGGCCCAGATGGGGGATCCGACCGCCAGCCCAACGTCTGTGTAACTAAGCAGTGCAGGGGATCCTACCACCACTACGGCTTCATGCAAAAGAAGCAGAAAGTGGGCCGGAATGAAGCAGAGACCCACCTCGCAAAGCAGTCACCCACAGGGGCAGAGCGAGAACAGGACCAGGGCAGACAGGTTGAGCTACCAGGCAAGGTATTGCTCCTCAAAGGGCAGCAACAGGCTGAGAGCAGACACGCCCTTCTCCAAACCGCTCTTTGTGTAAAACAAAAATACCGCGGGGCATTCCAGGGGTGGGGGCACTCCACACAGGACGCTGACTTCGTGGTAATGCCGCCTCTTTCTGAGTCTTGGGAGGAGGAACAGTTCATGGGTTGTAAGTGACATGAGCGTGCCAGGCCTAAGGATGTGACAACCAGAAGGCAGCTCCCTCTACCTCCCAGACTCCTTTCTTGATCATTTCCAACCCCTGGGCCTTCTAGCTCTCTCCTATCCGGTCCCCTGCCTCAGGACCCCCATCCCTGGGGATGAAGGCATCGCATTGTGTGAGTCTTCCAGCCCTCACTCAAGTCATGATGCATGTGCGTGTGCGTGCGTGTGTGCGTGCGTGCGTGTGTGTGTGTGTGTGTGTGTGTGTGTACAGACCTTATCGCCTCAACTGGATTTGACTATTTTTAGGTGGACTGAGATAAGACTCATTCTGTAGTCTACCCTGGCCTTGAACTTTCAGTAATCCTCCTGTTTCCACCTCTGAAGAGCTGAGACCATAGACCCACACACTGGGCCCAGCCAGCACACAACTTCTCCCCCACAGTTGGATTTACGTGGTCTGAAATGAGCTCAAGCACAGGGATCCTTGGAGAGCCACATTCCAGGCACTTGTAGTGACTGAGAACCCATGTCAGAGAACAAGAGATGGCACAGCAGGCTGGAGTCCAAGAGTCAGCTTCCTAACTCTCCAGAAGGACCAGAAAATCTTGTCAGGAAGCTAGGAACGTCCTCACTGTGGTGCTGTCTTCTCCTACCCTGAGCCCTCAGACAAACGCCCCCTTGCTACTGTGTCCTCCCACCTGGGGGACATAAAGAAAACAAGGACGGTGACTTGGAGCCTCCTGACAAGTGGCTCTGTCTGCCTGGTCACTTTTCCTCTTGCTCAGCATTTACTCAACAACCAGCAGATGGTGCAGAAAATGCACCGGCCGGGCCCTAATCTGGCTCTAAGAGCAGGCTTGGCATGTGACTGCCGGAGAGACAGGGCAGCACACTCAGAAGGGACCAGAGATAAGATCTCCATCTGAGACACAGTTTTCCAAATGACACTGCCGTACGTCACATTTGCATCTTGCAGGAACCACCCATTTCTACTCAATTACAAAACCTGTGTGTCATGAAGCCGATGGCCTGGACTAGTTCTAGAGTTTAAAGGCAACACCAGAAGAGCCACACCCATTACTCCTGGACTAGAAAATATGCTGACCCACAGGACCACTAAGAAGGCTTCAAGGGGCTGGAGAGATGGCTCAGTGGTTAAGAGCATTGACTGCTCTTCCAGAGGTCCTGAGTTCAATTCCCAGCAATCATATGGTGGCTCACAACCACCGGTAATAAGATCTGGTGCCAACTTCTGTCTACAGGGACACATGCAGGCAGACCATTGTATACATAATAAATAAATCTTTTTTTTTCAACAAAAAAAGAAGGCTCCAAGCAGAGACCATATATATATATATATATGTATATATATATATAAAATTAAATAGCACTATATAAACATACATACTCCGTTAAATATTCCATCTGATTGGAGGAGGGGAAGCAGGGTCTCATGCTGTTGCTCGGGCTAAGCTAGAACTCATAGCAATCTTCCTGGCTTAGTTACCCAGGTTCTAAGATTACAGGTACGAACCACCACACCTGACATGTCCGGTATCTTTCCTCCTCTCCCCTTTAGTTTCCTTCAGACTCCCTACACGGGCTCAGATACTTCAGGGTGGCCCCAAACTTACTATGTAGCTGAGGCTGGCCTAGAACCCCTGACCCAACTGCCTCCACTCAACAAGTACCAGGATTTCAGGTGTGCACCAACACATCTCGTTTGTTAGGCAAAACTATTTCTTCCATATTTTCAGTCAGCAGTTTCTACGATACCAGGACAACTCTGCCCCGGCTAGTCAGACCCCTTATTCATTGCACCCCTGACCTGCACCCCAACAAGCACACGTTTCTTTTCATCAAAACATTTTAAAAACAGAGCAACTGTTCAAAGGCACAGAATGCCTGCTTGCACGGGCCTCTGCCACGAAGAAGATACTTAAATCACTCCCACCAGGTGACACAGTTAGAGCTTGCCCCCTGGACAGGGCCTTTGTGAAAATGGGCATTTTAGTGCCTGGAAAGCTAAAGGGAACTGGAGAAGGCAAGGATAACGCTGCAGTGTCAATAAAACCTTGGAGAAGTACTTGGCTTGGTATTTGTAAAGCCTCCTGCAATCACTGTGTTTTCACTAAGTAAAGACACAGCCACAGGAGCCCTCGTGCAATCCTTTAGCTTATTATCTCCAGGTCTCATAAAACGAAGCTGGTGAGCCTGTAAAAAGAGCCCAGGTTCAATTTTATGACTTATTTCTTGGGGCTTCTCCGCTGAGCTCAGACAGCAAGCCAAAAACCTCCTGCAGCTGGGGAGCTGGGCGTGCCACCAGACGGCCCTGGTGAAGCAATCCTGTGGAATGAGTTACTAATTCACAGTACAGCAGGGCTCCTAATCCCAAAGGTTCAAAACATCTCATCAAAACCAAGCCCGCCCCACCATTACTCCCAATAGGCCGTGTCTGGCCCCAAAGTGGGGTCAAGACTCAATTGGCCTACCAGACTAAGGGGTGTCTAAAGACGAGCAAGGGCGACAAGGGAAACTAGAGTTCAGGCACCCCTTGCATCAGCACCGAATACGATGTGCACGGAAGACTCCCAGTACCCGGTGAGTCCTCCCTACTTTCAGAATAGAGTGGGGTCACCTTCAAGTAAGGTCTGACGATAGGATGGTCCCAGGACCCGCGCCAAGCCACCACCCTCTCCACCTGTCCCCGCCTGAAGGATGGAAGACGACCCCAGCAGATGAGCGACTCTCTCGGGACTCACCTGGGTGAAGTATAAGTTCATAAGCGTGAGGGTGAAGAACTGCAGACACACGGGGAAGCAGTAGAGCAGCCAGAAGACGAAAGGGCTGAACGAGTTGGCCGCCACGAAGTCTCGGAAGTAAAAGGAGAAGAGCACAGTACGCAGCGAGGCCCAGAAGAGGCAGAGGAAGAGGAAGACGCTCTGGTAGCTGAGTCGTTTGTGGCGGTAGCGCAGCACCAGCCAGAGCTGCGCGTAGATGAACACGAAGAGGAGAGCGTAGAAGGCAGTGTAGACCGCAGTCAGGCCAAGCTTCACATAGGGCGGCACGGCCGGGCTCAGCGTGGGTGGCAGCGAATCGTTGCGCACCGGCTCCCACGGAGGCGCCTCCATCGGGCTGGGGCCGCTCGGGCTTCATCGGGGCTCGCAGCCGTCCGCTCCCGGGTACCCGTGCATCGCGCCGCACCCGCCGCTCCAGAGCCCAGCCGGGAAAACAAGCCGCACTTCCTCCCGCCGCACCACATGATCTGCTGGGCGGCCTTTGTCTGCGATTGGCAGCGTCGCGCCCCCAGGAGCGCGCGCCCGCACCCGGCCCGCCCATCCCGGTCCCGCGCGCCCCTGGTGCGCGCGTCCCGGGGACAGCGGCCCGAGAGCTGAAGCCGGGTCGGTATTCGCGTGCCAAGTACCCTTGTGACTTTGCTCACCAACGGCCAAGACTAGGGGTGATCCGTACGCGGATGCACTACGCCTCCTAACTTGGGTTCACACGCCTCTCAGGACCCCAACCCTGGGGTTAGAGAAAAATCTGTGCCCCCGACCCTTGTGTTCCCGTGGCTGGGTCTGGGGATGGGACTAGGGAACATCCATAACTGGGATCCGTGTGTTCCCCCAATCCCATCGATGGCGCTAGAGAGCATCCGCGTGCCCCCGCACTGTGCGCCGTGCGCCCCCTTATAGCACGCACCCCTGATCAGTGCATCTCTTTGACTTCTCGTGCCTTCTGGTAACGAAGGAAATCTGTGTCCCCGACCTGAGCATCTGCTCTCTCACACACAAACTACACGCCACTGACCCCACCACGAGTTTGCGCGCTCCAGACGTGGGAGTCCAGCGCTGGTGTTTCGTTGGAGGTGTGTCTTGGGGGCGTGTCTGCTCTCTTGACCTCGCGTTTTCTGCTGATGCCTGGTTTTGCAGTTCACTCTTTTATTTAAAAACCAAACCACTTTGCAAGTTCCTTCTCCCGTGCACCCACGCGGTCACCCGCCTTTAAAAATAAAATTGTGACCTCGAACTGGCCAGCTTCTGCGACGCTGCTGAAGTCTAAATGCAAATGGTCAAAAGGCTGGACTTTCTCGCCGGTCTGTGCTGGTAGCTACTGCTTTTAGTCCTAGCTGCACAGTGTTCTCCTGAAACACCTAACTGCACGCCCTAGTGCGGCTGCGCTCTTGACAGCGCAGAGGCGCAGCAAGGACTAGGTGAGACTAGTGCAATCGGATCCACCCAGATACCCTGTCCTTCCTCTCAGCTGCTGCTGCTCAGAGGTTCTCTGTCTCAGGTGAAGTTGACTGTTTATCCCAACCCTGTGCCACACTACTTTATAGTGGTAGTGTTGGGAGTTGATGATTTCTGAGCTCTCAAGAAACCAAGTTGCAAGAGTGCAGGCGTAACTAGGTGAGCAATTAGAATAAGCAGAAGGAAAGAGCAGATTTTCCAAGAGACAGCTCCGTATCTCCTGATTCCCTTTCTCATATTTGACCAATATTCAATTTCATTCCCAATTGTATGTTCTTTTAGCTCAAAAAGCCAGAAATAACATGAAGCTGGCTTTTCCTCAAAATTGCGATTTACACACACGCTTCCAACTAAACAAGGTCAGTGTGCCTTATCTGATTCTAATCTTCCCCGGTAGGTACCCAGCTGGTCTGCCTGCTTCTGACTTGATCCACTCCAGTGGGTTCTGCACAGCACAGCTGCATCTAGCTTTCTAAAGATCACACCTGCCTGTCATTCTCAAGCTTGAGGCTCCTTAACTGCACGTGCACCTTCTCAGGACCGATAGCCCCTCACTTACCGAACTCCCGAGGAAGGGTGAACAGTACCAACACCTGCCAACAGCCTGGGCAAGACAAGACAACGCTTTCATGCCTTCCTCAATCTCTGGCCCAATCGTTTCACCTATCTGTATGGAACATTTCCTCCAGAAACTGTCTTCAAGACAAGGTCTCAATTTGTAGCTCCGGCTATCCTGGAACTCACTGGGCTTTGAGCTCAAAACCGCCCTGCCTCTACCTCCTGAAGCACCAATGCATTGAGTAGACAACAACATCTATCACGTGCCGGTCATCTAGGCTAAATGCTCTGTGTCTTTCCAGAACACCCCTGCCTGATTATCAGTCATCGTGACATCTGCGTAAGTTTCCTAGGGATAGAAACATTGTCTTGATTAGCATCGGCTCCCTCGGCCCGCTGTAAAAATAACCCTCTCTTTTATTATACTGAAGGAACATAATTTGTCCTTAGAAAACAACCTTTAACATTTGTCCTGCACTGTGCAGACTACCTCTTGATCCAAGGTGGCTGCTTGCTCTCCAACGATTGTGGCCCCAGCCATGCAGGCATCAGAAAGAAGAGAGGACTGAAGAGCATTTGACCCCTCTGGTTTATGGAGCCATCCCAGATATTATGTACATGCATCTGATTTCTGCTCGGTAGAATTGGATTGCCTTAGTAGGCGAGCTGCAAGAAGAGGCTGAGAGATAGTGTTCATTCTATACGGTGCTCTACAGCTCTGAAAGTCATACTTTCGATACTCTGGATGAAGGGAGAATGAATTGAGAGAGAACAATCCATCTACGCCACATGTTCAAAAGGATGTCAACAATAGCTAGGCATGGGGTGACGCTTAATATTGGCTGTTGACTGGACAGGATCCCCAGTTACCTGGGCAACATACTTCTGGGCATGTCTGTGAAGAAGGTACTGGATTGAGTAAGCTGGGTTGGAAAGACCCATCCTAAACATGAATGCCACCATTCTATGAGCTGGAGGCATAGGCTGTGTAAAAAGAAGAAAGCAGGCTGAACATCAGCATTCATCTATTTTTGCTCCTAGGAGCTATAGATACAGTGTGATCAAACATTTCACATTCCTTTTACCGTGCCTTCTCCAACTTGATAGTCTGTATCCTCAAACTGTGGGTCCAGGCAAACCCCTCTTTAAATTGCTTTCATCAGGTATTTTTTTCACAGCACCTAGAAAAGTAACTAACCAGATGGTTGTTTTTATTAAGTACTAAGATGTCTATCACTAGCTGGCCCGTTTAAAAAAAAAAGTAGAAAAAAAACAAGTGGAAAAGTATGCTTACATCAAACACAGAGAAACTTACCTATGACATGGCAAGGAAAAAATAAAGCAGAAGTTTGAGTCCTTGTTATGCAGATGGTCTTAAAGCTAGGGATGGTGTTAGTGACTCCTCACTTTGAGGTACACTGTATAATCTCCATTTCTTTTTTATTTTATTTTATGTGTTGTGAATAAAACCCAAGGTGTGGTGAGGACTAGGAAAGTGCTCTAACTTTGAGCCACAGCTACCATCCTCCCTTTCTCTCTATCAGGTCCCTTATCAGGGGGAATCCACCTGAGGGTCTTAGCTTGTGAGTGTTTGCCCTTGGGTGTGCCACTAGAGGGAGGTCACATTTCCACGGCTGGATGCCATCCATTCACCTCCTTTCACTCATGACATAAACACAACCCTTAATCATCACTAGCATCAGAGCAAAATGGTCACCAGAGTAATGATTGTCATCATAGTCATTACCATCACCACAGTGCATACTGTCATCCTAACCATTACCATCTTCATAGCCTTCATGGTCGTCAAAGCCTTTACCCTCATCTTAGTCACCACTGCCATCATCATAGCAGTACTCAAATCACAGTCAATGCCATCACCAGAGCCTTCAGAGTCAACAAAGTCATCACCAGCATATCCCAAGATCATAATCACAGCCATTACAACCATCATAGTCACCACAGCTGTCACAGCCATCACAGCAACCACAGCCACTACAGTCATCACAGTCACCACAGGCATAACAGGATCAGAGTCATCACAGTCATCACAGTCACCACAGGCATAACAGGATCAGAGTCATCACAGTCACCACAGTCATCACAGACATCACAGTCATCACAGGATCACAGCCATCACAGTCATCACAGTCATCACAGTCTTCACAGTCACCACAGCCATCACAGTCATCACAGTCATCACAGTCATCACAGGATCACAGTCATCACAGGATCACAGTCATCACAGTCATCACAGTCATCACAGGATCACAGTCATCACAGGATCACAGTCATCACAGTCATCACAGTCATCACAGTCACCACAGTCATCACAGGATCACAGTCATCACAGTCATCACAGTCATCACAGTCTTCACAGTCACCACAGTCATCACAGTCATCACAGTCATCACAGTCATCACAGACATCACAGTCATCACAGTCATCACAGTCATCACAGGATCACAGTCATCACAGTCATCACAGTCATCACAGGATCACAGTCATTACAGTCATCACAGGATCACAGTCATCACAGTCATCACAGTCATCACAGACATCACAGTCATCACAGTCATCACAGTCTTCACAGTCACCACAGTCATCACAGTCATCACAGTCATCACAGTCATCACAGTCATCACAGGATCACAGTCATTACAGTCATCACAGGATCACAGTCATCACAGTCATCACAGTCATCACAGTCATCACAGGATCACAGTCATCACAGGATCACAGTCATCACAGTCATCACAGTCATCACAGGATCACAGTCATCACAGTCATCACAGTCATCAGTCATCACAGTCATCACAGTCACCACAGTCATCACAGTCATCAGTCATCACAGTCATCACAGTCACCACAGTCATCACAGTCATCACAGTCATCACAGTCATCACAGTCATCACAGGATCACAGTCATCACAGTCATCACAGTCATCACAGACACAACAGTCAGTCCTCATAGTCACCACAATCAGATCAGATCAGATCAGATCATAGTGGCCTATGGCATTGTCTGTGAGCAATTGTCTTCAGTGAGGATGTAAGAGAAGGAAGGAAGGCTAAGGTATTTCTCAGCAGGCCAGACTGTCCTCAGGCTCAGAGCAATCCTCCTGCCGTAGCTTCCTGAATGCTGGGATTGCAAGAGTGAGCCATCACATCCAGCTTTTATCCTTCCTTCCTTTCTTTCTTTCTTTCTTCCTTTCTTTCTTTCTTTCTTTCTTTCCTTTTTCCTTTTTGGTGTTTTGATGTAAGGTCTTATAGCCTAGCCTAGTCTTGCCTACAAAAGCACAATCCTCCTGCCTCAGCCTTTGAAGGGCTGGGATCACAGGTATGCACCAGCATACTCAGTTATGTCTGGAGAACTTCAAGTGAGCCTTACTTTACTTTGCCTTCAATTCTGATCCCTAAGTTTTAGTGCACTTG